GTTTCTGGGATAATGCACTGAAGGACAAAACTTAACTCCAAGAAATCATTCAATCTTCTACGTATCAGCCTAGCAGCCACTTGCTCTCTGTAAAACTGATACGGCCAAAAGTTAAGATGGGAAACTCAAATCTAAGCATACATACTTACAAATTTTAAAGTTAAACGCAGCCTACTCTGTTCTACATAAATCACAATAGCAGAGCTGCCTATTTGCAAGAACACAAACATAACAAATGTAAGAAGAGAAACAGAGATTTTGCAATGAGTCTACTACAACAGAAGAAGTTAATTAAGCAACCTAAGGCAACAAAACGAAGTCAAATATGGCAAAAACGAAGTCATACTTATAAAAGAAGGATGAGACACAAATTAAATTTCTATATTTTTTATAAAGAAGATGACAAAAGAGAAAAAGAAACAAGTAAAAGTGCAAGAGCAAGAAATAGATATTATAAGTATTGTAAAATGGACTATTCAAGTTGCATTGAACTTGGAACATAAGAGCACACAAGTGGTTGGAGATTTCTGTTTCGAGATTCTCCAAGATTCACTTCTTTCAAGGATCCATCCTCTCCAATGATGAAAGCTGTGTTGTGCCTCCCCATCATGTCTTTGCCTTCATTAAAAACCACAGCGATTTTCTTCTCCTCATCAATGAAGAAACTTGCACCACTAAACGAAAACATAAACCCATTGCCGGTGAGAACTCTCATATCCACTGATAAGAAGAACTTGCTGCCCCACGACAACGTGTTGGGCTCAATCTTAGTTGTAACCCAGATCTCCATTTGAAATGTATCCTCTCGTTGAAATAACACAGCAAGCTGTTCATCTCTAACAATAGATAGACTCAGAATATCTACAGGACACCACTCAAAGGGCAGAGGCAAACGCGGCCCAAATGTTTCTCTTGTGAAATCAAAAGAGATTAAGAAATTATATATGGTCTCCTTGGCTAGGGTTTTCTGAATACGTCTCATTAGCAAAGAAATATGCATTTCCCTTGATAGAGACACCACCGCGATACCAATCTATGTCCCAGTCTCGAGTAACATCAAGAACCCTCCATGAATCAGAGTTAAAGTCGTAGATTTTGAACTCAGCCAAAGCCAAAGAGAAAAGACCATGATATAAAATAAATCTCAAGATTTTGTGGGATTTGGTGTTGCTATTGTATCCCAGAGCAAACGAATAAAATTCCAATCTCTGATTATTATATGTGGCTTCGATCCACCGTGGTTGCCCACAATACGGGTTAAAAACAACGAGCCTAGGGTTGTCTTTCAGGATGCATAACAATAAACCGTCGCAGTGAAAGACTTGACGTACATAGATTTGATCTGAGGCGTCGGGGAAAATAAGTGTACCTTGACGTTTCATGCATAATTCAACCTTGTCGTAGTGAAGATTCACGTGCATCAGATAAACCCTAAAATCCATCATCATGACTACCATAAACTCCTTTTTCTTTGCTGCAGCTACTCTTGCTTGAGCAAGGTGCTTCTTTGCAAAGCTCCTATACGTTTGAACAAAGCGTTCCATGTTTTGCAAGTAGATCGGACTCTTCTCAGAGATGTCACCAGAACCACCTTAGAGAGCACCTCCTCCGCCAAATCCCTTGGAAGATCCGAAAAATCCTTTGGAAGATTGGACATTGAGGATGGTCGATGTAACCTTAGAAATTTTTTTTTTTTTCCTCCGTAAAGTTTACAAATTTCTTCCTTCCGTCTCAAGTCAAGCACTTATAACAATTGTTTGCCAAAAAAAAACAAAGATACGTTTACCCTAGAACAAAAAGCTCAATTGGCTCGGTCCATGTCCACTATATTGGACTTTAAAGCCCAAAACCAATCCAACGTGGGACGAAAATAAATGCTGCTTTTATGTGATTCACATACATGACATAGTCTACTTAGATCATCGGTGGCAAATGTGTTTGTATGGGTGTAAGTATTTTTTTAGTATTATAATTTAAAGCAAAAGAGAAAAGAGAAAGAAAAAGAAAGAAAGAGATAGAGAGAAAAAGTGTTACACCCGAGTGTAAACTTACATCCGGGTGTGAAGAGAGAGACAATTTTTTCGTTTTTCCTACACCCCAAGACTCACACCCACCTGCTTGCCTCACTGCCCATGCTCTTACTAGTTACTACTACACAAGCCCGTGTCTTAAATTTTTTTTGGCTTAGCCTATATCCCAAAAATGCAGTAAAAATTAGTCTATCCAAACTCATTTATAAACACTGTCAATTTTTTAAAACATTGGTTAAGAACTTTTTTTTTGCTACATAGTCTCACACATTAATTAAGAATCCAAGATTGAAAGTTTGTAAAAATTAGGACTGCTACCACTAGTATAATGACTAAACTACTATAGCACGAAAATGGCAATAAACCACTATAATGAATTTAAATTGGATTCATTTCAATCTCAAGCTTATCCCATGCCTTCCCATTTTCATATTTCAAAACTGCATTAATTTCTCCATTTAATTTTCTTGCTTTTTATTTTATTTTATAAAACATTTAGATTCTTCTGTGGGCGCAAGTTCATGCATGCGCCAATAGAGTCGCCAATGCCATGTAGATTAGAGGTATGGGTAGTTCAGCTTCTTAAATGCAACTCCTCCTCCTTTCTCTCTTTTTCTTTTTCTTTATATATTGCTCTTTTCTCACACTCAACACCACTCTCCAATTCAAGCTCTCACCCCATAAAAACACACAAATACAAAATATCCCATAAATATAAAATCAATTAGTATTCCATCTTTTCTTCATGGGCATTGCTAAGATGATTCTTCTGAAACTCACATACGCTGTTTCTTCTTGGATTACTGGCGCGGTCGTCATAATGTCAAGAACGATAAAGCGAGCTTTGTTGGGCTCATTCATCCTCATTCTTGCTTCCGGTAAATTTACAAGTTATCTTCATTTGCGTATCATTATAAGGCCACGTACGTTTGTTCCTTTTTTGAATTCTGTATATGCTTGCTAGTCTAACGTAGTTTTAAAGATGAAACGTGAGACACCATTTCATAGGTGTTGGATATATGTACTTCATTGACATGTACTTACATCTTTTGTATGAATTCACACTCATACATACTATAACTACATATAATAGTTGACAACTTGACATGAGTGTTTGATAAAAGAACTTAAATATATATTAATAAAAAAAAAATTGACAAATAAAAAGAGAAAATTCTTGAATATTTTTTTTATTAAAATTCTTGAATCTTCATAGAGCGATGTGTCAAGCAACTTTTTCTTACTATAGGAGTCTGATGTCGGGATCTTCTGTTCCATTGTATTCGCCTTTTCCTTTAACCTGAATCACTTGTTTGTCTAGGTAGAGAAGACGACCTATTTCACATTCAATATGATTCCAGTTTAATAGTATAGATAATATACAAAAGTATATTCATATGTATGTAAGATGGTGGGGTCTAAAATGTGTGTGATATGGCCACACCCACTATGTATTTATTATGCCTACCTTAATTGAATTCAAAAACTTATCTCATTTATGGATTCTCTACCCTTAAATCCTCATTCTTTAACAAAAATATATTTTTATTTGCACAAATAAAAAATAGAATATTTTCATCCAAATTCTTAGAAAAATCTACTTTCTTCTTGGTTTAACATATCACATTGCTTTATTTTCATCCAAATTCTATGTATAACAATTTTACAAGGTCACTAAATGTCATTAATTTTGGATGTAGCTAGTGTTGTGGTAGCCGCCATTGTAGGAGCCATCGAAGGTCACACCACTGACATCGGATTTCTTCAAGGTAGTTTGCTCGGAGTCGTGGCTGGAGTTATCACCGCGGTCCAACTCTTTGGGCCGGTGCTACATGGTGATCAACCTTTGTCTAAGGTGATTGTGACTACATATCATCCCTAGAATCTAAAAATTAAATCACTGATCAGCCATATGCTTTTAGTTAGAAAGTGGGAGTGGTCTTGTGATTAAGAAGGCTAAGAATGATGGTATTCTAGTAATTAGTTATCTGAATAAAGTATGATGTTATTGTAACAATAGTTTGGTGACAAAAATATGAAAAGCATGGCAGGTGGCTTTACTCAGGAGAGTAGTGAATGGGAAAGCCATCATGGGATTGGTTAGACCGTTTGCTCTCAAAGCATATCAATGGCAAGTAAGTACTCTCCATTCTTTTTGTTAATTCTTCTGACTTTTTTTTTTTCAACTACGTCTTTTAAATTTACAAGAACACAATATTTTCTAATGTAAAGTCAGAACCAATCACTCACAAAACTCTTTAAACTACCACATATTCCATAGTTTACATTTTATAAAATTCTAAAAAGAAAACAAACAAAAAATATATGCAGATAATAACATTGGATACAAATTACATGGAGAGTTCAAACATATACGATTTCAAGCAAGAGAAAAAGGGATTATCGAAGAGCTCTATTGAAAACATCCCGATGTTCTACAACCGTTCAGATCAGCAAACAAAATCAAGTTGTTCGATTTGCTTACAGGTGATGAAAATGTAACTAAAATCATATAGGAATCAGATTTAAAAATGTGATTATAATTACTTAATCGTACTTTTTTCAAACCTTCATTTTTTTGGGGGTGTGTAGGATTGGGAAGAAGGGGAAGTAGGAAGAAAGCTAGAGAGATGTGGCCACAAATTTCATATGAATTGCATAGATGAGTGGTTGCTTAGGCAAGAAACTTGCCCCATTTGTAGAGACCATCTTTCATAACACACTTCTTCATAGTCTATCTCCATTTTTTTTTTGTAATAACTAAACATGTTTTTCCTAAGCAATCCCATGTTAAAAGAAGTGAATAAAATATAACATGTTGTCGATAAACTTCACAAAAGCCATGGACCTCACGACCCAATGGGTCCAAACTAAATTACCCAAAAAGAAAGGAACAAAAATAAAACTCAGTAATATATGTACCTAACTAAGGGTAAAGTGGGAAATACAAAAAACGTTTCGAAGAGAAGAAGCACGAGAATCATCTGCTTAAAATCCAATCGCATCGAACTCAGTCTTCTTTCTTCTTCTTCACCTACCTTTCTCTCTCTCTCTCGTGGTCCATTCGCTATTCTACTTCTTGCCGGCGCCGGAGAGAGTGAGATGACTTGGTCGGTTTTCAGATCCATAAACTCTCCAACACTCGACCTCTCAACCGCACTTCGCTCCACTCGTACCCCATTGGTCGCTGCTGGTGTCGGCTGCGCAACATTTGCTGGTGTTTCTCTCTTCAGAATGTCTTCTAGATCTCCTCCTTTCGCTTCCCTCAGTGTCTCTGCTTCTTCTGGTAACGATTTCTCCAATTTTGATTCTTTTCTCGTTAATTTGGACCAATATCAGTACTTCCTAAAGATGTGATTTTTATGAATGTCAGTGTCAAAAATTTGAAATTGATTTCAATTATCTTCAATGCATATGTTTGTTAGTATTGGGTCTTAGTTTCTTTCATCTTCCGTATTGAATAATCAAAGGTTTGAGAATAGGGTTTTTACTTAAGAAATTTCATGTTTGTGTGTGCAGTGAAGAAGGAAGTTGTGGCTACTGAGAAAGCACCAGCTGCTTTGGGACCATACTCTCAGGCCATTAAAGCCAATAATCTTGTTTTCCTTTCAGGTGTTCTTGGACTTATACCTGAGGTTTGTATATAAGATATGAAAATGTAAAATCACCATTTTGTTCTTTCTTATATGTGTTCTAAAGTTTGCAAGATTTGTCTTTTTGTTTTTTTGTGTGTGTATAGACTGGAAAGTTTGTTTCCGAGAGCGTCGAAGATCAGACTGAGCAGGTGAATGTAGCTTTTAAGCTGTCATTATGGTCTTTATAAAGATAAGTTTTGTTTAGAGTACTTTTTCACTTGCATCTCTGTTATGTTTGGATGATTTCATTCGAAGTCAAGTCGATTAGATTGTTTTGAATGTTGTTTGACAAATGGTGGTGAAGATGTAGTGAGAGATAACGATTATTGTGCCTTAGTCAAGCTTGAGTTTATTGGGATATTCACTTTCAGCCTTTAAAACTTTTGAGTTTTGCTTTTGAAATTTTTGATTTGGTATTAGTCTTCAAATTAACTACCAGTGTAGTTGTTGCAATGTCAAGTTGCTCTGTTTGCCCTCTGATTATGTCTGATTGCTTCTACTATTCGTTTGAAATATTGAAGGTACTCAAAAACATGGGGGAGATATTGAAAGCTAGTGGTGCTGATTATTCCTCGGTGGTGAAGACAACAATCATGTAAGGGATCTTGTTTTCTTCAACAGTATCATTATCCATCTGAATTCTTATTCTCTTTGGTTTTCTCTCAAAGGTTGGCTGATTTGGCTGACTTCAAGACAGTGAACGAGATATATGCCAAATGTGAGTTCTTTAACAAGATTATTAGTGTTCCTACTTTGTTTGAGATGCATAATTTCTAGTGGAGTCGTTAAGGGCACAAAACATTTTTCTCTGTTGCAGACTTCCCAGCTCCCTCTCCAGCACGATCTACGTATCAAGTTGCAGCTTTGCCTCTAAACGCCAAGATCGAGATTGAATGTATTGCAACACTCTAGACCACCATCAATCTCTAGGAAGGGTATTTTGATTCGGAAGATGTCAAAACAAATAAGAGACACAATGGTTTTGGGGCTTAACCCATTTTTAACCTACTTTTCATTTTGCTGCACACTACGGAAAATGTTGCGGTTTATCAACCATTAGGTTGGTTACAAATCAGAAGCCTCTAATCAAGAATAAGTTATCTAGTGTCTTGTGCACCCTCATTTGCTGTTGACGTATTTGTATTAATTGTATACAATATTTGAGTGAAAACCTTTATGCTTGAGAGACAAGACACTAAACAGAGCTAACATGGTCGTGAATAACTCAGTTTCATCTTCCAATTAACGCTGGAAGGACAAGATTTGTGCTAAATGTTGAAAAGTTTGAGATAAGAATTATAACCAAACTTTGGTTAATTGCTTAGTGCTTTTTTGGAGAGATGATAATTTGATATTGCTATGATAAAAAGAAAACATACACAATTTCTTATTATTAGGTGGTTTGATAACAAAGCACTAACATGGAGTTGCAAGCTCCTTGGTTTGAAAAATCTAACTAGGGAAGTACATGGTTGAAGAAATGGCCTCAAGTTGGACTTGAACCTTCAACATATCATTCACAACAAAACCCTTTGATGAATCTCTCAGATCAGCTAGAGAGATAATCTCAGAGTCACCCGAGCCATATCCCGGACCAATGTACCAATTCGTGACTACCAAAAAAGAAGGAAAAATCTCATTAGTCATCGCGATGAGATGGTATGTTTAAACATCGATAAACATAAGCTATTTGCTTACGTTGCCTTTCGACGTTATTGAGATTTCGCTGGTTAAGAACTCGATTTGGGCCAAAACTTATGTAGAAATTGTTGCATAAATGTAACAAAAGCCTCATAAGTATTTTCTCCAAAAATAATACTTTTTGTGGGCCAAAGGCCCACATTCCCAAGAGCCCAAGCCCAAACCCGGCTTGGTACGACGCGCCCGTGTGGGTCGTGTTGCATAATGTGCATGTATCTCCTTTACCAGACTCTCTCCTTCCCAATAGCTAGTGAACCATGTCATATGTGTATCGCTATATAATAGAGGGAAAATTTCCAAACTTCCAGACAAAATTACATTTGTAGTTTATAAGCTTTCAAGCTCCCCACTTTGGACATCAATTACTCATTCAATATAACTTCAATTTTTACATGTAAATACACTATCTTATAGTGCTCATAACAAGGAATCCAAAGATTCCATTATCCGGTCATTCCGGTGATGGACTTCACCGGAAAATTCGCCGGAAAGTTGGCCGGAGCCACTTGTGTAAAAATTGAGTTCCAACAGAGAGTTGTGATGAAATCATCAGTGAATTGTCCTATGATGGAATCTGCAGACGAAGATGTGATGAAGAGACAAAACAAGAGATAAACAACAGAGGATGTGTTTCTGTAGAGACTCGTCATCTTTCAAGGTTATGACTTATGTGAATGAAGAGAGAGGTTAGTGAAACCTATATACTTAAAGTGAGAGAAATGCTTTAGGATACTTAGTAGGAGACTTCGGATATTAGTTAGATTCTTACATAATAATGTTGTTTCAAAACAAAACATGCATCGGTGGTTTTAGCATCGTTGACTTTTGAATCCATCTCAAGTTTAGTAAGTGCCCTCGCATGAAGTTTTTCATTAACTCGACCAGAAAATAATTCTACATCAGTTGAAAATATCCAATATGAAGGTCAATTTTCTTTAAGTTATCATTTAAATATTATTAGAAAACATTCAAAAACATATTATTGGAACTGAATACAGTAGTTAGCAAATTAGACTATAAATTGGTTCAAATGAAAGTTTTGATACCTATGAATTAAAGGATCAATGGATTAGTTTATGACGGAGGTTATAGTCTGCTGCTAAATTGCTATCATTAATGTATTGCCACAAACAATAAAAAATTATAATATTGCTAATCTTTAATCTCAACATGCTATATATACATACATAAAGTTGTTCCATCTCACCAATAGAACTTAGTTTACGTGGTCAAGATAAAGACTACATCGATCAAAAACCAAGACACTAGATCCAAGTGTTCTACTTTTTAATGAATTTTTATTAGTTTTTCTAACCTTTTTTTTTTCTTTTACTTATTTTTCCAGTTAATTGTGATCATATTCTTTGATAATGAAGTAACCATAATTGATTTATTCTCTCCAAATATTTTGTAACTTATAAAACCCATCGATCCATTTATTCATAGGTATTCAAAGTTACATTTGATCATATTTTAAAATGTTGAGATTAAAAGATTAGCAATACTATACTTGTGTTTTTTTTTATGGTAATACAACAGTTATAGTAATTTAGCGGTAGACTCTAATTAATTGATCCTTTAATATATACAAAACAAACAAAATTTGAGCCGAATGTCGGATTGATGAATTTTGTTTGGGTAAAGACTCCTTGATGCTTTCAAGAAGAGCTTTGATAGTTTGATATTGATATGCGGAAGAAAAAAAAAGAGAAGAAAAAGAAACTTATTGATTTGAAAATCAAAAGCAAATTCTTATTAGTAGGTATTTGATAACAAATCAAACACATGGAGGTGCAAGTTATTTGGCTAGGAAAAATCTAACTAGGAAAGTACTTGGTTGAAGAAATGGCTTCCATTTCAACTTGAACCATCAACATATCGTTCACAACGAAACCCTTTGATACATCTCTGAGATCAGAGAGAGAGATAAACTCAGGGTAACCCCAGCTATATTCTGCTCCATATCCCGGACCATTGTACCAAATATCGACTGCCCCAAAAAAACGTAAATCTCATTAGTCATCGCGATGAGATGTTATGTGTACATATCAATGAACATATATCATTTACTTACGTGGCCTTTCGACGTTATTGAGATTGCGTTGGTTAAGAACTCGAAATTTGGCTCGAACATAAATCTTCTCATATGGTCTAAATATCTCATTCACATTAAGGTTAAGATACATCGACAAGGCTTTTCCCTCTCCGGTGGCACGACCACTTGGATTAACTTGTATATTCCTGATCAACATATAGAATACTTGTTACTACTTATCAATACTACTCTACCAGAGTTTTTTATTTTGAAATAATGTTGACTCACCAACTTCTTCCTCCGATGGTGAACACATCTGATAGGTAAGTGTCTTTTAGCAGCGTAGAGAATCCCCGAATGGTCCAAGTGAATCTCGGATTTTGGAAATTCTCTGTGACAGTGAAAAGTTCCGATTTTTCATAAAGAGAAGGAATGGTTACATCAACACCAAACTCGCAATGATCTCCATCGTAAAGGTATCCGTTTATTGGGTCTTTGAATGTATCAATGGAGAGGACCTGAGAGAATCCCCACATCGTTTTGAAGACACTAAACTTCCATACATCGGTATCTGCAGATTATAACAAAGACCAATCGATAGATAGATGTTACTATATATACTACACAAAGCATCTTTTCTTGTTAAAACACTACAATTTTTTTGTTGAAAATTATAAAAACCTTGGATAGTGAAGTACTTCCTCTCGTTCTTGTTAAAGATGTAAAACCTTAGATCCGCGTAGATCTCTTGCTGTGCAGCGACAAGAGTTGAGTTGTCTATGGCTACGTAAAGAGAAAGGTACCCTGAACCACCATCCTTCTTGTTCCCATTGGGGAACACAACAAGTGTCCTGTATACATATTGTATTTTGAGTGTGTAAGATTCGAATCGAGCAAATAGAGATCAGATTGACCAACATACCAGTTGTATCCACCAACTGAAAAGGGACGAGATGCGTATTTCTCCGTGTAAGTTGACTTAAGGAGTATGTTGAAAGACTCCATCTTGAGAGAGTAAGACGATGGAGGACGATCTCTCAGACCTTTCACTGCGTTTGAGGCTGAGACTTTATAATCACGTGATGAGATCTCCTTATTTTCTTGTAAGTAATGCCCTACGTCCAGGTTTCGGATTGGTTCTGCGCCTACCTCCTCTGTTTCTACACAAAAACAGAGCATTTGAGAAAGAAAAAAATATAAAAATAACAAAGGATCTGTTTCCATTTATAACAACTAAAAGAACATAGAAAATTGGCTTACGCTGCAGATTTGTGTTGAGGTCCCCATCAGTGAATTGTCGTATGAAGGAATGTGCAGTCGCAGAGGTAATGAAGAAACAAAGCAAGAGATAAGCAATAGAGCTTGTGTTTCTGGAGTGGCTCGTCATCTCTTAAGGTTGGTTTTGGAATGAAGTGTACAGAACTGAGAGTACTGTTACTCTTATATGGTTAGTACTTAGTGGGAGATACATGCTTAGTTAATAATGCGTTGGGATGCTCAAGAATCAGGATATTATTGAGACTTTAACGTGATAATATTATAGTATTATTTTGCCTCATGTTTGCGAATGCGAATTAAATATTGAAACAATCTTTTTTGGTTGTACGTTCTTTCAACTAGCATCATTGAATATTGAATCCATCTCAACTTAGTTGGTGACTCATCTGAATTTCATTAACTCATTCTATATCATTTCAGTAAATGCTATATAAACTTTTTTTTTTTTTTACGTTTATCAATGAATTTATATATATATATATATATATATAAAGTTAAAAAAATATACGATTGGAATTGAATAACTCTGTTTCGTCTAAATGGAGCTGCAGGTTCCTTTGGTTTAGAGAAGTCTAACTATGAAAAATACTTTGTTGAAGAAAAACTGCCTCCAGTCCGTCGTGTAATCGCAAAATATGGTACATGCACATGTGCGTTGCGTAAACCTCTTGTCCGTTTGTTTCAATCCTCAAATTGGATTGTAATTCAAATGGATTTTCTTTTTTAAGTGTGAATTCAAATGGAGTTTGGTCGTTCTACGTAGATTTTGATTTATTATAAAGATTTCCAACGAAAGAAAACTAATTAATTTGATTTGTTTGGAAAATTTAGCCCTATCTCTTAAAGATGGTGAATTAACCTAACGCAACGAGTTAATGAGAGTAGACATGTTCAACTTTTAACCACCCACTTTAATTTTACATGTGAGAGATAAAACTATTGAACTTATTATATCTATATGCATCATCGTTTTTGGAAACTTTTCAACATTTTAGAGTTCTCGACGATAGTTTTTGGATGTTTGTTTTATATCGATACTAGATCCTGACCCGCACGTACGTGCGGGATTTCATATTTTAAAAAATGTTTTCTAATAAAATTTAATTTAATATAGATAAGACAATGAGAGAAAATAGTGTCTTCCCGTCCCGTCTCGTTGCCTATCTTAAAATTTCTCGTCACATAACTGTTTCTTTTAAAATACTTACCAATATGAGAATGTTTAGTTTAGTTCACAGAGAAGAGAATAGGTAAGAGATTTAGATGGAATACCCGTATTTTCTTTACTTTTCCTTTCGGGATTTAATTTTTACAAAATAAATAGAATCTATCTAATTTTTTTTTTGTCAAACATTCTATAATTGTTTAAAACGTTGGTACGTGTTATATTTGAACACTTATTTATTTGGTATGATACTCATAATTTGACAAACTCACGAAAGAAATTTTATAATTCATACTTGTAGAACACTACATAAAAACCTTATTCACCCGCAGTCTATAAAAAATATTTTGTTTTCTCTAGTTGAAAAAAGCTTCATGGTTGTAAAGCTTCATGGGCTGTCAAAAAAAAAAAAAAAAAAACTTCATGGTTGTAAAGACTCAAACATAGAAAATAATAAAAACATAAAATAATAATCCAACTATTATTCTATTTGTTTTAATTATCTCTTTTCAAACTATAGTAACATGATATTTTCTGTTTGGTTTATCTATTAATAAGTTCAAACTTAGACATATGAACTATTTTATCACTTTTTTAGTATTTTGTTTGCGTATGTCAAACGTATAAAATATGAGCAGCCTGTAGGAAAGAACAAAGTTCATTAGCATCAATTAGTATACTAACTCAATTAAAATATTTGATTTTTTTTTCTATATAACTCACCCATTACAAAAGTGGAATCAAGAGCTTATAAAAAATCTATTTGCTTATATTTTCCTTTGATATTGTTGGATCATATTCATAAACTGAGTATGACTGTATTTTGACCCAACTCAGTAGAAGCTAAGCCATGACTCGACAAACCTATGTAGTTGATTTATAAGTTGTAGAAACATAACGAAAATGAGAGTACAATTAAAAGAGATGAAGTTAATGAGAAAAATTAGGTTTGCCTATTTTGAATTTTAGAAAATGATTTAATATCTTAATTGATTATTTATTCTTATTTCAAATTTTAAGTCAAATCTCTTGTTTAAATATTTTGAATCCTTGAAATTAATGACAACATATTTATATCTCTTTTTTTTTCTATCATCAATATATTGGTTTAAAGATATATTAAGAAATCAATTTTAGTATTAAAATCATATTAATAGAATATAGAATATGACTTTCGTTAAATTACAAATCATTATTTAATTTTAAAAAATGCTCTCAAAATTTTATGAAAATAACAAATCCAATAATATATTTTTTTCTAAATTAATTCCAATTAATTCAAACTAATTAAATCAGTTTGAATTAATTATCTTGCGGATTAAGTTTGAACTTCCAAGATTTTTTCAAACTATTAATAACTTATTTTTTCCCTAAATCCTGATTTTTAGGCAATAGATTAGACTTTCGGATTTTATATATTTTAAGGTCATATGTATAGTTTTTGTTATTTATTTGTTGTAAGATTTGGAAAAATCGAGATTTGGAAAGATTGAAAACTTTTAGTGATATTTATTAGGTAATTTTATGGTATGATTTGCATAGTTTATTTTATAAGAATTCTAATAATATAGAATTATTATTGGATTCATATAAAAACAATTTTTGATTTTTTAACCATATTATGAAGATAATTAATTTCTATAAATGGTTGTTTCTTTAATGATAATAAATTAATGATTGGATATGAGTTTATTAATATATCCGAAATTTATTGTTGCAATATTTGCAAAATCTTGGAATTAATATAATTGTTATCAATATATGGTTGCTATTTTTTTCTCCTTTTTTAAATTTAAAAATCCCAATGGCATTATATGTAACATTTTACTTTTCAACATTTTAGAGTTCTCGACGATAGTTTTTGGATGTTTGTTTTATATCGATATATCTAATATATTTTGAAATCCTTTTTTTTTCTTTTTTTTTTTTTTTTTTTTTTAATAATAATAATTCTACCAAATGGGCTTTTGGCTTTTGGGCTACAGACAAATCATGGTTACAAAAGAGAAACAGCCCAAAATCGAACCGTCGGAGAAAAGGAGATCTTAGCCTGACGGAAAGTAAATACTTTGAAATCTTCACCGCCGTAGAATAAAGGAAAACAAAAAAAAAATTATGACAACGACCAATTGCAGTAAATAGTAAATACAAAACTCTTCCAAAACAAAATTTCTGTTAAAAAATGTTTATTAATTACTCATATTTTCTGTCAAGTACTCTACTTCAAATTTGTACTTAATTGTAGTGTCTCCTCTTTTTTTTGTCGAATGATAATTATAGTTTCTTCTATAATCGTTTTCAATATTTAATTTGCATGATGATATATATGTATAATTTTTAAAAATTATTATTGTTTTCTGTCACTAATTGAGATCATTGTGGGGAACGTAGTACGTTTCCACAGTTAAATGAAGCTCCTTCTCGTAGATTCCAACCGTATTGGAAGCAGAGCTTTAGAGTCTATTAAGATAGACATCATCCGACATATGAGGCAACAAAAATGTTTATCGATTCTGTTTTCAAACACTCGAAAAGGGATGTTCTTAATCCCAAAAGCTGGTCTATATATCTACCACACGGCCTTAGAAGAAATGTGTGATTAAAAGTTTTAAAGTATCAACTTAAAAGATTATATGATAATTACCTTATAAAGTATCAGCTTAAAAATCTGTTCCACGTGGAATCGACGCTGGATGCGGAGGGAGAAGACAGAAGAGAACACGTGAGTTTTAGATCTGGCAGTGCAATTTTCGGCATCTACTTTTTGTCGGTATCTCCTTTGACTTGAGGCAAATAGTAGAGATAAAATCTGAAAACCCTAAAGTTCTAATCCTAAAAGAGAAAATAAATAAATCAAGAAAGTTTAATTAGGCAATACACAAATATTATGTCCTTCGAATCACTTTAGTTTTAGTTCTCCGATTTCAAAAGTAATAAGTACGTATTTTGTAAAAAAAAAAAAATGTTTCGTTTCGTTGAACAACAAAACAAGAAAAAAGTTTCATTTACAAGTTAAGTACTCTACACACTCTACGGTGTTAAAACAATTCAACGTTTATACCTTTAGGCTTTAGCGTTCCAGTGAGATTAAACATTTTCTATGAATTTTACATAGATAATTGGGAGACTCACAAAAATGCCCCTTTTTCAATACTCCTTTTCAAAAATGTCCCCTTTGGATGTCCATTTTTAAAAATACCCCTTTTAAGTACAAAATGACTAAATTACCTTTCTTTTAATAAAAGATATCATAAATATATAAGGAAATATAACAAAATTAGGTCCACAAAATACAAAATATTTTTTGGCGGGAAAAGTGATCCCCCAATTTTTCCCGCCAAAACACTTGTAAAAATTTGTAAAACCTTTAAAATACCTTGTAAAATTTTCCCGTAAAATTTTTTCCCGCCAAAAAATTTTCCCGCCAAAAAATTTTCCCGCCAAAAAATTTTTTTTGCGGGAAAAGTGATTCCGCAAATTTTTTGGCGGGAAAATTTTTGGCGGGAAAAATTTACAAGGTATTTTAAAGGGTTTTTACAGGGTATTTATAAGGTTTTACAATATATTTTAAAAGATTTTACAACGTATTTATAAAGTATTTATAAGATATTATAAGATTTTACAAGCTATTTTATAAGGTTTTACAAGTTATAAGGTTTTACAAGTTTTTTATAAGGTTTTACAGTTATAAATACCTTATAAAACCTTATAAGTACCTTGTAAAATACATTGTAAAACCTTACAAAACACTTGTAAATACTCCGTAAAACCTTTAAAATAACTTGTAAATTTTTCCCGCCAAAAATTTTCCCGCCAAAAAAATTTCGGCAAAAAAATTGCGGAATCACTTTTCCCGCAAAAAAAAATTTTTGGCGGGAAAATTTTTTGGCGGGAAAAATTTTTACGGGAAAATTTTACAAGGTATTTACAAGTGTTTTGGCGGGAAAATTGCGGGATCACTTTTCCCGCCAAAAAATATTTTGTATTTTGTGGACCTAATTTTGTTTCAAATAAGGGTAAAATGGTCATTAAAAATTAAAAGAGAGC